GGCGGGGCTGCAGCCATGGCGGCCGTGTCGGGGTCAGTTCGCCTGCAGCGGTGCGTGGTGTCGCCGGCGGGGAGGCACAGCGCCTCCCTCATTTTCCTGCACGGCTCAGGTGGATCCCAGTTTTACGTCCTTGATTCCTGCCCCTTGGGAACACCCTCCCCGCGCCTCCCACCCTGCCCCCCAGTGTTGCCCCCGCCGGAGCCAGCGCCGGGCCCCGCTCCCCCATAGGGCCCGGCGGACTCGGAGAGGGCGGCTGCCCCTCGGTAGCCCCGCTTCCGTGGACAGGCGGGCAGCGTGGTCACCGGGCCCCAGGTGCCCCCCTTTGCCTTCCTTTCTTCTCTGTTGGGGTCACCGGCCCTGCGTCCTGGCTTCCGGCCTAGGTGTCCGGCCCTCCGTCCGCAACAGGTGTCCATGAGGGATTGCGGGTTCCAGCAGCAGTGGGTTCCCTGCCATGGCTCCCTCCGGCCTCCCACAGGGATGTAGGCCATTGAGACTCACAGTTAACGTAAATAATTTTTATTCATCTCTTTCCTGCTCCCCCCCCCCCACTTCCTTTCCCAACACCTTCACCCCCACCCCCCTTGCTGTCACCAAGCACCCCAAGGTACAGCACAAAGCCAAGTCCGCCTGCCTTTGGCATCGTGTCCTTCATTCTGTAGGTTTCTGAAACTCCTCGGTAATTCACACTCGTGTCTGTCTTCCCCTCTGGATGTTGAGCTTTTCGGGGAGTAAGGAGCCTTGTTTTAGTCTTTGCGTCCCTAGTGCTTGGCCCAGGGTAAGCTCTTGGGAGATGGTGTTTAGTTTTGGGGTTTTCTGTTTTTTGGGGGCTGTTTTTTGGGGGTGGGGGGAGTTGTTTAAGAAATGAGATGCAGCCAGTGTTCGCAGGGGGCCGCCTGCCTCAAGTTAAAAAAACAATTCAATTCATTTGAGTCAGCTGTGAAGGGGGGAGGGGGGAGGTGTCACAAGATGGTGCCTGGTTTACTGCCCAGGGAATTGCGAGGGGAAAGCTGCGGGTTTGGCCCTTTTTTAAAGGCTTTTGGAGGGTGAAGGGCTCCAGCGATTTGGCTGGGAACGTGGCCTTGGAGCTGAGACTTAGGTCGCCTTCAGGAGGATGGTGGCTGGATGGCGGAGGGGGTTCGCGAGGCACCTGGGAACAGGCCCGGGTGGAAGGCTTGTCATTTTGGAAATGAGTCTCAGTTGGTTGAGCAGCGGGCCTCGGGTCACGTGGATGCTATCACCTTTAAGTAGTGGAGGAGCTGGGGCTCGAACAGAGAGCTGTCTGAGGCCAGGATCAGTGTTCTGGAGAGGTAAGGTGAAACACACACACACACAGAAATTGAACTAGGACAGTGGTCGGCAAACTCATTAGTCAACAGAGCCAAATACCAATAGTACAACGATTGACATTTCTTTTGAGAGCCAATTTTTTTAAACTTAAACTATATAGGTAGGTACACTGTTATTAACTTAATTAGGATACTCCTAAGGCTTAGGAAGAGCCACACTCAAGGGGCCAAAGAGCCGCATGTGGCTCGCAAGCCGAAGTTTGCCGACCACGGATAGGATGTTTCGTTTTGGAAATAGAAAAGGGCCCACGACATTTAAAGGGAAAGACTTGACTGATGGAGCATAATTAGAAGGTGAGGTGTCTCAAGGTAACAGGGGGGCGACTATTACTGATTTTGCTCAGGGCTCCAAGGGTCTTCGTTGATGAGCGCCCAGAAACCCCCCAGCACCATACTCCTTTTCGTAAGTTGATTATTTTACAGTATTTTTAGGTAACGCTCCTAGGCTTTTGTTCTGTTTTTCCTTGGGCCAGTTTGCTTAAATGAACTATTCTTAGCTTTTTTTCAGTTTCAAGATTGATGACATTTTAAAAACCTGTAGCTTTATAGCTCTGAAAACTTGTAACTATATAGCTCTGAGTTGTCCATTGTGTGTTTGTGTGTGTGTGTGTGTATGTATATATATAAATGTTTTTCCCTTTGTACTTAAAGAATTTATCCAACGAGTTCTGCCCATTTTACAACTAAAATGCAATTTCTGTACATTTTGAGCTCCATTTAGCGAATAAAACTCTTATTAGGAGTATGATTTTACACTGAACTTGGGTATTTGTGGTTATGGGATAGGAGATGTGTGGCTTCTGGTTAATCCAAATATGGGTAAACCAGTTTTAATAGCTTTACCATGCTCTTGGAATAAGGTGCTGGCTTAAAAGGGGGACTTGGCGACTGGGTGGATGGGTGTTGTTCTGTAGCATGCAGCTTTGCTTTTCAAGGTTGATGAAAAGAATTTAGAGGCACATTTCTGGTGTTTTGTTTTAATCTTAAGAGTTTGGGGTTCTCTTCTAGAATACTTATGGCAGCCATAGAAGGAATGGGAGGGAGTGGAAGTTATATAAAGCCAAATCAATTTGAGCCTTTCCTGCTACTAAAATACCAAAGAAGTACTTTTTCTCAGGACGATGAAAACAAATGATAGTTAACTAGCTTTGTTCAGCTTCCCAGATGACATTAATACACTGTTATATATTTCCTTAGGACACTGTAGTTCAGTGGTGTTCATGATATTTGTAATGACCTAATTTAATGTCTGTACTCCACAGTAGTTACAAGGTTCATGCAGGCCCAAACTGTGCATGTCTTGCTTTCTCCACATATGGTCATGTCACGTCACTGAAACCCTGGATTCTTGCGATCTCCCGGGAGAGAGATCACCAGAAACGAATGCAGAGCCTGGTACATTGTCTGAGAATTGAACCCAGGCCTTGCCGGTCACAGGTGAGAGTCCTACCCCTCTCACGCTGGGTTCTTGTTATTGCCCAGAATAGAAATCAGAAGCGCTCACCAGAAACCAATGTAGAGAAAGGAGGTTTACTTGTGCACAAGGAAACCAGCACCACCAAGGGAAAGAACACGGCTGCTCCTCGAACAAAGGCAGGGAGAAGTTTAAAGGGGCTTAGGTGGGGAAAGTGACGGCTAAGGATGTAGAGGCCAGGTTTTTCTGGTGCTTGCGCAGTGTGACTACATGCTTTATGTGTCACGTGTCTCAGTATCATGTTATATCTCTACCCAGGGGTATGTTTCTTTAGCAGTTTAATGAGGGGAGGTCAGGAAAGGATAGTCTTTCTTGCTAGTGTTCATGTGTGAACAAGGGGAAAAAAAACTTAATTTCCGCCCCCACCCCGCCCCCTGCCAAAAAACACACACAAAATAAATGTTACAGGCAGCAGTGTACTTCAGTCTGGTGATGATTGGTTGTAAGGAGAAGGGAAGGTCTTGGCTTCCTGCCAGCTGGGCCCAGGGAGTAGCCTGCCTATCTCAGTGAGCCTTGGCCAACCGATTGGGTTGGCTCTTAAAGTTGCCAGGGTTGCTAAGTAATGGACATTTTTCAGTCTCCTCTTATTTGAACTGTCAGCAGCATTCGGCTTTCTTGAAACACTGTCCTGGTTCTTTCTACCTCTGTTCGCTTCTTCTGGTTTATTTTGCAGCCTCGTCCTCCTCTGGCTATTAATGTTGAGATTCCTCAATATTTGGTCCTAGGTCCTCTTCTCATCCTACATTTTTCTCCCTGGGCTAACCTCCATACAAGCCCACAGATTCTATTTTTACCTAAATACAGGAAGCACAGATGTGCATCTCCATTTTAGGTCACCGTTGAGCTCCAGACATGTTTCTCCAATAGCCTAGTAATCACTAATTCATTAATCCACTCATTCAAGAAGTACCTGTTACATGGCCACTCTGTGTAAGGACTGTTCTCAGCTCTGGGTGTACAGCAATGAACAAGGCAAACAAATCCTTGCTCCCCTGGAGTTTACAGGAGGAAATATATAGTAGGAGATAGTACGTTCTATTAAAAAAAAAAAAGCAGGAATAAGGAGTAGCTGCTCCATGCATTTCCTGTCCCTGCACTATATTGTTCACCAGGTGTCCTGGCCAAAAGCCTCACCATCAGCCTTGAAACCTTTCACCATTGAAACCCCCTCCCCCCCATATCTTGCCAATTTCTGTTAATTTTAGCTCCTAATATCTCTAGTTCCTAATTCTGTATACTCCACTGCTGTTCCCCTCGTCTAAGTATCTGTCACCTGAACAGTAGCCTCCTAACTGGTCTCCCACATCTTTTGTCCTTCAGTTCTGTCTTCACAGTTTCCAGGGTGATCCTTAGAGGCGAGCCACCTTCCTGCCAAAAAATATTCCTAGCTTCTCTATGCTCTCAGGATTTGTTCCTAGCTTCTCTATGCTCTCAGGATTTGTTCAGCTTCCCAGATGACACTGTAATATATGTCCTTCAGCTTCTCTAGCCGCATTTATTTTCTTATAATTACAGCTTTATTATGGCGTAAGGATACAAGTTAGAACCCGCCAAAAGAAGAACCGTATAGGGAAAGCCTGGGACGGTTCTAAACCTGAATCTTTTGTCATCCTCAGTAATGAATTAACTCCCAGCACTGAGGTATGACAATACTCAAAAGAATATTGTCACAAAGGGAGTTTCACCTGAGCTTTTTATCCAGAGCTCTTATTTGGGTTTTATTGCATAGACATGATTGATTTGGCGTTGAACGCAAATCTCCAGCCTCCTCTATTCCCTGGAGGTCAGACTGATATCATATGGTTCAAAGCCCCAACCTTCTAATCACATGGTTGGTCTTTCTGGCTGGCCAGCTCCCACCCTGAGTCATCTTAGTGAAACTATCCTGTGGTTTGCGGGCCCGTCCATGAATAACAAAGACACTCTAATCGCTCAGGAAATTCTAAGGGTTTAGAGGTTACCTCTCTCTTAGGAACTGGGGACAAAGGCCAGCCAAACTCTTTATTACAGTTATTTTTAAATGGGTGTCTCTAACCTCATCTCCCATTCACTGCTCTTCCTTTCAT